ATTGTGGAAATCCAAAGGCAACACGGACAACATGAGAATTTGTTATTCAGAATATTAAACGTTTAAATGAATGGTTTGATAAAAACGTTTTGCTATGGTTGTAAATGCACGGCTTTGAATAAGGTTTATTGGCAAATAAAGTTTATTGGCAAAATACACTGTAGCAATAATTTATGAGTAAAGTGACACTCAAAGAGCCTTGTGGAGGATGTACAGTCTGTGCAGCTAGGCTGGCGCTGATAAACAGCCCAGGCCATTGCTTCTGAAATCCCACCCAACAAAAGCTTCCCTTGCACTTACTGCTGCCTGCCCAGGATGGTCCCTGAAGCCTTTTTTCACAAGGGTAAACCAAAAATGATCAAATTTATGCATTTAATAGACCAAATTTTTGGTGTTCTGTAACAATGAAAGTCTTAATGGCTGTGTGAACCCTGCTTCTGAAAGAAGTATGCAGGACTCAGGAAATTTAGAGTAAGGTGGCTTTAATGTAAAGCTTTTGAGAAGATAAAAAGGCGGTGTGATGAATGATGGTCAGCCTTTGAATTACCTGAATTATATATCCCTGTTTTAAATCTGAAGGATGGATTTCCACAGAGTGAATTTATGGATGGGGCAAAACCTGGCTTTTAGTATAACTTCTCTGTTAAGTTATAACGTTAAAGCAATATGCAGACAATGTTTATGTCAGGTTATTTTTCCAGCTGATTTTGGTACCATTATTGCTTTGTTCTTTCATCCCACAAACGTCACTTCCACTGCTGGCAGAATTATTCAAAGACCTACGTGAGTGGGGCTGATGTTTTGTCACTGCGAACGTACTCAGGCTATAGGCCTTTGTCACTAACGCAGGATAGTGCTACAGTGCTGCTCTTGGGTCTCTCAAAAAATAACAGCATTATGGGCTGAGAAAAACCCTATTTTGAAGTTGGTAGTCCCACAAACATCACTTCCACTGCTGGCAGAATTATTCAGGACCTACGTGAGTGGGGCTGATGTTTTGTCACTGCGAACGTACTCAGGCTATAGGCCTTTGTCACTAACGCAGGATAGTGCTACAGTGCTGCTCTTGGGTCTCTCAAAAAATAACAGCATTATGGGCTGAGAAAAACCCTATTTTGAAGTTGGTAGTTAGACACGGTTCAAATTGAAGTAGATATTGCAGCTGTCTGTCTATGTGCAACCTTAATTTTTTGCTTTGTAGGATTTGATAAGGACTGTTGTTGGCTGGGTTAACGCTGCTAGGAGTGAGCTCACAGACCTTGTAGAGGGGTAAGCTTTGATCCTTGTGGTGTAGAGAGTAGCTGAAGTTAAGAGACTTTCTTGTATCAGCTTTGATAGCTTTTGAATTGGTGTGTGGAATACTTATGCTAAATGGCTTTCACAAGCACTTACTGCATACAAAAGCTGCCAGCTGCTGAGTGAGCTCACAGTATGGTCAGTCCAGCAAGCTGCTCTCACTGAAAGCTCCCCACCTTTTTTAGATACTGGTTCCACAGGCAGATGCTCCTCCTGATCGAATTTGCTGCCTAGGGGAGCAAGTTTGGCATCAGGTGACAGCTTAAACCCCAGCTGTTTAAGGTAGGATGTAGGTCTCTTCTATTTGCTTGGCTAAGACCACAGTCTAGCAGACACCTTAGTGTGCTTTTAATTTAAAACAGAGCAGCTATTACTAGCTTAAGTCTAATTTGTGTCCACTCTCTGTTGTCCCGCACATGGATTATGTGGACTCCACAGGTGCTCAAGCGAGTTGTGGACGGGCTGTGGAGCTGGAAGCGCCGTGGCCACATTTCCCCGGTACCGTGCTGCGTGGACTCAGCTGGTTAACACGCAGCCCAGCCACCTGCGTCACTGACCTGTCTTTTCTCCATCATTCCTTTTAGTCTCCTTCATACCATATGTGCCTTCAGCCTAATTTAAATGCTCTTGGTACTATCTGCGGGTTTTGTTTTATCCTGGGGATCCCAAACTACTTTCAGTTTGGTTATGTGAAAGTTGACCAAGTTGAACACATGCATAATACAATATATATTGAGTTTCTTTGAAATCTAAAGGTCAGGAGAGTACACAAGTGCTCTGCTTATGTGTGGCTATTTGGCGTTAGGCTCTATATGACAGAGAAGATTAAACACTGGGCAAAAGTGACAAAGACATAACTCACTTTCTGTAGTGCACTTGCTGTATACATTCTCATGAAAAATTGAAATACAAGTTAAATACATACTTATTTTATTCCAGGCTATAGGATAAGTGTATTTAGGCAGGTTTTCAAAGTGTCTTGTACACTGCATGCACAATAAATCAGTTTAATAGCTTGACTCTTTTACAGTTTGTGTTCAAAGAACTGTATGATAGGCAATGAGATCATGTTACGGCACAACTTATTGTCCATCTGGACCATATCCATTTTTTCATAAAAAAATTTGGGAAACCCAAACTGATAGATAAAATTTATGTTAAACATTTTAATGTGAGCATTTGCTCCAAGAAAGAAACTTCACGTTATGCTCAATTTTTAAATCCCTCCAAACAGAGGATTTAAGACAACAACTTTTGAACGTGATTTCATTGCAGTATTACACTGAAGATGGGTGTAATATTTTTCAAAATGATGTAACAGTTTCCCAATACAGATTTTGGAATCTTATTATCTAATCAAGATAATATTTTAGGGCCCACACATTTAGCTTTAAAACTGTCCTTGAAAGGATGACTTGTCTATGTTGACAAGAACTTCTACTTGTGTGAAATATCTTATAAAGATAGCTTATGACTAGCAGGTCACCATCAAATAGTAACATTAAGAATATTCAAGTCTACATTTGTAAAGACTTACGCATGCAGATTTGTCTCTTACACGTTGTTTAGATGTGTGGACTAACTGTATTGTGCCTCAAACACCAACAAACTTGAAATTACGCTATGTAAATATATACATATATGATGCTGTATATGTTTAGTACCACAGTAAATATAACTGTAATCAAATGATACTAGACATATGTAGGACCATAATTAAATTCCAATTAAGAAAAAAAGCCAGAAAAAAATCATTTTTTCTAACAGTATTTCACAGTAGAAGGAGGCAGTCCTTTCTCACTGAATTTTCCCCCCTCAGGATTTGTAAACATCATAGCTATTATTCTATCTGTATAATAATTGAATATTTTATTCATAATGGTAAGTAGCTAACCAACATGAATAAAGTTGTCATAACACAATAGCACTTTCAGACAAAACAGGTATTTATTAAAAGAAACATTTATAAATATTTTGTCTTGCATTTTAAACTACATTTTCATAAATAACAATATTTAAAAGTGCTGAATATGGTAGGATAGTCAGCAACGCCACTGTAAACAGATTTGTTTTCCACTTTGCAGATTTTTTTTTAGATCCCATTTTGTCAAACACTACAACAGTTAAAATATTTGCATAGGGAATAGAGAATAGCCCTTTTAATCATCTCCTGAATTCTATATAAATTACAAAACCAAATGAGTTTAAGAAACAGTTTGTTAAGTTGTTCGTATATATATCCAAAAAAAGCACACAAATTTCAAGTAAAAAGAATGATTAAAAAATTCCCCAGACTTGCTATTTGAAGCATGTTCAATAAATTAAAAAAAAAAAGAAAAAGAAAAAAAAGAGAGGACTGAGGAGAGGTATCAAGTTTCCAAAGACACAAAGGGAAAAGGAATAAATGTCTTTATGTCCACAGCAGATAGGAAAGAAGCGAAGGATTTAAACTGTAGCTGGGAAGGGTT